TCAAATCTGTCACTGCAAGTTCAAATTTCGCGCCTTGACTTTTGTTACTCTTTTCGCAATATATGAGGTCCAAAACTGATTTGTGCACTTGCAGCTTAGTGGCGGCGAGAGAGAGAGGGAGGCGGGAGCGGGGTGTTCAAACAAGCCGTATTATTGGTTGGCACCTAGCCAATGAAATGGGACTTCTATGTACACGACGATGTCACGAAACCCGCCTCCTCGTGGATGTTCTGAAACGCTAACATTAATACATTAGACTGATATTAGAAATAAATGATATTATCACACTTAATAAACCACCATACTAATAATGCATAGCCTACTAAAGAAAAGCAGATGAACACAGAATATGACGAAAGAAAGCAAATTTGTGTTCAGTGCAAATAAACCAGCTGCCTGTGTTTTATTAATAATGTATAACGAATTGTGTGAATTGTCTTTTTTTTATAACTGTTGGTCCATTAAGCCTCATTGAGCTTTTCTTGGTTTTCTATGAGAGGAAAATGCTTAACGTACGATTAAACGAGTTGCGTTCATATTCTGCTCATCTGCTTTTCTTTCTTATGCATTATTAGTATGGTGGTTTCCCAGACAGCAAACTGACATTGAATCAACGTGGAAACGACGTCTCTCATGACATTGAAACAACGTTGATTTTGCTCATCGTATTAACGTTGAACCAACGTCAGACGCGGCATTCTTCAAAGCTAAATGAAAATCGAAAATTGGTTTGCTTTCATAACGTTGAAACAACGCGTTGATTTTAAGTTGATTTTCCGTTAGTTTTGAAATAATGACGCGTCTGACGTTGGTTCAACGTTAATTCGATGAGCAAAACTATGTCAGATCAACGTTGTTTCTATGTCATATTTCCACGTTGATTCAATGTCAGTTTGCTATCTGGGTTACTAAGTGTTATAATATCATTTATTTCAGTCTAATGTATTAATGTTAGCGTTTCAGAACATCCACGACTACGAGGAGATCATTGTGTACAATAGAAGTCCCATTTCATTGGCTGGGTGCCAACCAATAACACGGCTCGTTTGAACACCCCGCTCCCGCCTCCCTCTCTCTCTCGCCGCCACTAAGCTGCAAGTGCACAAATCAGTTTTGCACCTCATTTATCGCGAAAAGAGTAGCAAAAGTCAAGGCGTGAAATTTGAACTTGCAGTGACAGATTTGAGAAGTTGCAAGTGCCAATTTGAGGTTGTACTGCGAATTTGAAAGTTAGAAGAAGTGCAAATATATTTTACATGTTTGTGACTGCTTGTCTGCAGCTTCAGATTCAGAATACAGGTTTGTGACTGTTGTCTGTGAGTGCAAATCTCAGCGTTCAACTTCAGATTTTTATTTTACAGGTTTTCACATCGGAGCTGTAAATGTTTGCGTTCACGTACGAATATTTATTGTACAAGTTCTCAAATTCACATCTACGTGCTCTCGAGTTTAGCTACTAATTTACCTTCATAGTTATGTTGCCCGCCCGCATACCGCCTCCCATGGCCGAAACTGGTATTATGACACCTGCCGGGCCGCGGCTAGTAATTTAGCATGCTAATTCAGGTTAATATCTCGGCAGCACTATAACTTGTAATTTTTTTAATGACATCATTAACCTTATTTCTTCTCATTCTTTTGATGCAAGTAGCTCATTTTTTGGATATTTTAACCTCAATTTTTACAGATGGCACCTTTAACTCTTTCCCCGCCAAACACGGAATTTTCCGTGTTTAATGAAAAAACGCATCTGCGCCAAACACGGAATTTTCCGGGTATCCGTGTTTTAGGTGGTATACGGTAAGGAAGACCTGCGCGCATGTCCTGAATGATTGCGCAACTCTTTGTTTAGAGAAACAGATTGCAATCGTCTCAAACAGTGGAGTAGTGAGAATGTATCAGACAGACAATGCAGAGGTATATGGCTGAAGTACTGGAGGTTAATGGACTCGGAGTCCGATCACTCTTTATTTGATAATTCTGAATCTGATCGGGACGAAGTAGTCAGTGAGAGAGATGCACATGTTCATGCTAGCCATGGACGTGCCGCAGATAGATCGTATAATATTATGACACTATATTATGTATGTGTGTGTGCAGGCATTTATGTGTGGCTGTCTAAATATGAAGGTGTAATTGTCAAATTATTTCTCTCTTTGTGCACATTTACCACATTGTAATATGTATTTGTGTGTGTGTGTGTGTGTGTGTGTGTGTCTAGGCCTGTTTACTGTAATTCCAATTATTCATAGGTAGAACACAGAGAGGCAGAGGTAGAAGTTTTATTGCAAAAGTTACATTTCCCTTAAATCCTGGGAAATTTGATATATTTTACATTTATTTTATGTTTTTAATTTATTTTGGAAAGTTTTATATATGAAGGAAACAACATCTGAATGTATCTTGTTTTTAATGCACTTGTTTGATAAAAACACCTTTTTCTCAGTTTTTTGTCCAAAATGTTGTGTTTTTGACAAAACCTACCTCTGTTCAAGAGGCAATAAAAAAAGAACAGATGAAGATAAAATAAAAACGTTTTTTTTTGCCTAAAAGCAGAGGCTCAGATCTTTATTTTTATATATATCATCTTCATATATTCATGGAAGAAAATATTCAGCGGGGGCATTCAAATTTAGCGAAAATCGTCAAAAACCCTGGCGGTGGCTGGCAACTTTTTTTTAAAACGCTGGCGGGGAAAGAGTTAAAGAAAGCAACACCTCCCATTTCTGTAGCATACCAGTCAAAGATAAGGAAAGTCACCTACATGGATTACTATAATGAAAAATGAAGAGGAGAGATGCTTTATAAACTTTAATTTAATTAGTGATAAGACAGAAAAAGCTTTATCAATGGCTCAGAGGGATTTATCCTTGAAAGGACGAGTTTTGTTGAGAAAGGCAGAAGGTTTATCCCGTCTTACATATGCAGATATCTCCCTGTTTGTCAACAAAAAGCTCTGCAAATCCATTGATACATTTCTTTTCAAGTTTATTTGGAAAAACAAGACATGTTATGTTAAAAAATATGTTATTATGAACACATTTGAACGTGGTGGTCTAAAATTTCTTGATTTTACAACCCTCAATAATACTTTTTTCTTAAAAATCCCAAATCTACATGGAATTTTATACCTATGTCCTTAATTTGATCCAAATTCCATCAACAAATGCTCTTCGCATGGTCATTAATTTACAAACATAATTTCTCCCCAGATAGATGCTTCATCTGGAATAATCAGTTTATTAAATTCAAGAATAAATCCTTATTTTATAAACTAATAACATAATTCTAGTATCCCAAGTGTTTAACAATAATGGATCATTGCTGAATTATTCTGAATTCATTCATATTTTTGACATTTCAAGAGAGTTTGCAGTTGTTATGGGTGCCATCCCATCTGGTATTTTAGCTCTTTTAAAAGGGACTGGAAAACCAGATTGCCTACTTTGGACCCTAAGCTGACCTCAGTTGGTAATATATGTTTCGCAACCACAACGAGGAACTGTAATTTTCGCTCTTTATTCCAGAGAGATGTCACCAGCACACCTAATGTTGTCCTCTATTGGTCTAATTTTGTTGACAACCTGAATTAACAACAAATACCTTCTTACGAATAAAGTAAGAGAAATCTCTTTCAAAATTATACATAGATATTATCCTGCTAAGCGATATCTCCTTAGGTTTAAGCTTGTCATGTGTGTTAACAGTTCTTTATGTGGAGTATGTCCAGAAACAATGGTACACCTGTTCAGGCAATGTCCCTACACCATCACTGTCTGGAAAGATCTGTCCCGTTTTATTACTGTTAGACTTATTGCTGATTTTTCTTTGTTTTGGAGGGATGTGCTGTTTGGTCTTCATGTTAACAAAGGGAAAAAAATCCAAACGAAATATATCTAATTAATCTATTGATCATTTTAGGGAAATATCATATTCACACAGCCAAATTTAATTCCAAACCTTCCTTTATTGCTTTTGGCAAGGAGACTGAAGTCAGTACATCAAATCCATCTATGATTCAAAAGATAAGGAGGCTGCTAAAACATTCAGTTTAGCTCTATTTTTAATGCATTTATTTGATACTCCCCCTGGCTAATGTTCCTGTCTAATATTTTGTCTTCTGCATTATTGACTTTATTTGTGTGTTTTTACTGTTTGTATCATAAAAAAACAAGCTTGCTTCACTACGTCACTAGTCACATGAAAATGCCGTCTGAAGCAAACACACTGAATCATTCCCGTAGTGAACCACCTGAATCTGCTTTGACAGAGCCAATCCAGTGTTGACAGGTTTGAAACCTGGCATCTGAGTATCTCTTATAAAAGTGAAGCCAAACCATGGCAACACCGTGGGTTAGTAGTCTGTGTTTGGATTGGCGTTATTTTTGAGGAGAGTGGATTGAGTTTATTTCAGTGTTGTGATGGAGCCAGCGAGAAAGAGAAGTCGTTCCCAAGTTTGGAAACACTTTAAACTTATTTCCCCAAATAAGGCTAGTTCTTTGACATTTCTGCATACAAATATTTTTATAGGCCTATGTACTGAATGATATGGAGAAAGACAGAAACTTCAAAAACACCTCATTACATTATACAAGTATAACCAGTTACATAAGCACGTCCTTTTCAACATAAAAATCCAGTCCCACCAGTTTACAAGTTCTGCACTTCATGATACATGATACTGCCCTGCTAAAAAAAAACAAAAAACAAAAAAAAACAAAAAAACAAACAAACAAACCAAAAGAAAAAAAAGTAGAATTTCTGTGATGGTTTCTAACTTTTTTTAAGCTGGTCTGATCTTCTGTCCTTGTCTGTTTATGTGTCAGAATATGTGATCGTGTGACATAGGCTTATTTAAAAAAGAAAATGATAGCAAATGGACTTAAACTTCCACAAACCTGTAGAGTGAGTTCAAACATTCCGACACGACTAAAAAAATAAATTGAAGCTTCATTTCTCGTTGATCACGTGTTTCTCTGTATATCGCGGCACTTCGAGAGATTGCGCTGCGAATACGCGCTTTGAAGATTCAGTGTCTATAACAACTGTTGACACCTAAACCTGTCGCTCACTGGATTTGATTTCATCTATGATTCAGAAAACATGTCTACAGATGTCAATTTAGCACACTGACTACAAAATCTAATAACACTCGCGGGCATTCATGTGTTTAATCCACAATCCATCGAGACCAGCAAGAGATTCTGAGAACGACGCGCGCGGACTGACAACAAGCGTTACTGAGTTTAAAATACTGATAAATTCTCTTCTTAGTGGACAAGACTGCAAGTAAGTTTATTACATTCTCCATTACAGTCATTTGTAATTATTAGGAACTTCATATTGTATATTAAGCGAGATTTAAATGTGAAGTTACAGAAGGCTGTTCTTCTGCTACTCTGAACAGAAGAATCTGACAGAAATTACAATCTTTTGAAGTAAAAACACAAAAAGTTTTATTGAGAAACGTTTATTCAACACGAATATGTTTATAAAAAGTTTTCTCCCATTTCCTCTTCCGTGTTAGGCTGTTGTTTGTGTGATGTAAAATGGAAAGTATTTTTGAAGCAGATTTACAGCTAGACAGATGAAGCCTAACGTCAATCAACGTTAGGCTATATATATATATATATATATATATATATATATATAGCAATTGTGATTAGTAGCCTAGTAATACAGTCAATTATTATTCTAGTTACTTTCATTTCGGAAAAACTTAAATTAGATTTATTCCAACGCAAAGCAAAAGGTGCCTTATAAGGTCAAGAAAAAGGTGGATTGAATAAGGGGAGCAGAACTCTGCCTATTTTTTTCAGCTCAGAAAGATATCATGGACAATGTAATTTAATCCAGCAATTTAAAGGCAAGGTTGGTAGAATTCCCCAAAAAATCTTTTTTTCCAAATTTGTTTAAACTGTCTTTATATATCAATGCATAATTAAAATGTAAGTACGCTGGAAAGGAAATTATAAAAATCGAGTTTGTCTCATAAAGACAGTTTGAACAAATTTGGAAAAAAAGTATTTTTGGGGAATTCTACCAACCTTGCCTTTAATATTAGCGATACTGTAACTGATAATCACTGTAAAAAATTATTGATGGTTTAACTTAAAAAAGTAAGTAACCTGGTTGCCTTAAAATTTTAAGTTCATTGAACTGGAAAAAGTGAGTTAATACAATGAAGGAGATTAATTTAAACATCAGAAACTCAAAATTATAAGTTATCTGAACTAAATAAATTAGTTAAGTTGATTTGACAAAAGAAAATATGTTGTGATAACAAATCTTGAAAATATTTTTTACAGTGTATAGCTGTTTTCTGTGCGGACTTCTAGAAATTTATACAAATCCAAATATTGCCATCAATCAACCACTATATTCTTGAACTCTCTTAGCGTCACTCCAATCTCTCAAGATGATAGGAAACCCTGCGATGACCCTATAACCTTGCAGGAAATTACATTTGCAATTGAATATTGCAAAACTAACAAATCTCCTGAAGTTGATGGCCTCTGTGCAGAGTTTTATCAGGCTTTTACACAAGATTTCGCTCCCTTTCTGCTTTAGGTAATATTAGAAAATGTTGGAGAAGGTTCTCTACCCCCTTCGCTGACCCAAGGCTTAATTACGTTAATCCCCAAACCTAAAAATCCACTGTTTATAGATAATTGGCGACCTATTTCATTACTTAACACTGACTACAAAATATTTGCCTCAATTATTGCAAAACGTTTTAGACTCTATTGATGAAGTCCAATCAGGATTCATGAGAAAAAGACATATAAAAAGACAGATATAATTGTTTATTCATTTTTATGTAAAGATCATAGGGATTACTATGATGAAAAATGAAGAGGAGAGATGCTCTATAAACTTTAATTTAATTAGTGATAAGACAGAAAAAGCTTTATCAATGGCTCAGAGGGATTTATCCTTGAAAGGACGAGTTTTGTTGACAAAGGCAGAAGGTTTATCCCGTCTTACATATGCAGATATCTCCCTGTTTGTCAACAAAAAGCTCTGTAATTCCATTGATACATTTCTTTTCAATTTTATTTGGAAAAACAAGACACATTGGGCCCTATTTTAACGATCTGAAACGCAAGTGTCAAAGCGCAAGTAACTTTGTGGGCGGATCTGTTTGTGGGCTGTTGCTATTTTCCTGTCGGGATAAATGCCTCTTGCGCCTGGCACAAATCTAAAAGGGGCTGGTCTGGAGTAGCTTCATTATTCATAGGTGTGGTTTGGGAGTAACGGAAATAAACCAATAAGACCGTCATATCACATTCCCTTTAAGAGCGTGATGAACGAGGTGCGCTTGTTCCATGGCGCAATTCTATTTTAACGGCGCATTTACCAGACGCACTTCACAATCGGTTCACAGCCGAGGAGATCGATGTTCTTGTCAGAGCCGTAAAAGAAAGAGAAGGGACATTGGGGATGGGACAAACCCACCCAAATTAGCTTCGGTTAAACATGCATATAATAATTTGGGTAAATGTGTAAGTTTTATGCCTATTTTTCCCATCGTCATGGACACAACAATGATTTCCCTCATGTTTATATTTTTTTCTTATAATAATGTATCATTTGCAAAAAGTAAAATGCATCTGTGTAGATGGGAGAATCATCTACAGTGTATGCGCGTTGTTCACTCTCTGTATTATGGCCAAGCAGCCGCGCTTAAAATAGCATCTGAATGTACGAGCAACACGCCACTGACTTTAGACCAGGTTTTTTCTGGTCATTGGCGCAATTGTTTTCTGGAACTGCAAAATAGCACCAGGGATTCTTTGCGCCGACACACGCCTCCTTTTTGCGCCAACCCGCCCAGGGAGCGCAAGTTCATTTCCTAGTTTACCGACGTGCGTCTGTGGAGGAAAAAAAACTGCTTTGCGCGCGTGCAAAATAGCAATGATAAATGCGTCAGTGTATAAAGTCATTTGCGCCAGGTGCAAGATGTCACAGTCCTCGTCTGCACCAGTCTGTCTTCATCACCTGCACTACACTTCCCAGGATCCTCTTGTCTGCACACCTGAACTCACTCCCTCAATCAGCCACCGGTTCATCGTCTTGTTCATCTGTATCACCTGTCTTCACCTTGTTATGTTTGATTCATGCGTGTATTTAGTTTGCCTCTGTTCAGTCTGTCCTTGTCGGTCGATGTTAATGTTACCTTGTGTTGCTTCCGTCTGCCTGTATCCGTGCCTGTGATTTTGTGAGTAAAAGTAAAAGTTATATTCTTTGGAATCTGGACTCTGCCTGTTCTTCTGCCTGCACAACACCGTGACAGATCGGCCGACCGAAACGAAATATGGACAATCCCGCTGTGGCTCTCCTCTGCCTAGAACAGGAAGACCGTTCCCTGGAATCCCACACCAAGGATTTTCTGGAGTTGGCGTGCCTCACTCACTGAGACCACTCGCTGAGTGTATTCTTCTGACCACTCGCTGAGTGTATTCTTCTGACCACTCGCTGAGTGTATTCTTCTGACCACTCGCTGAGTGTATTCCCCTGACCACTCACTGAGTGTATTCTACATCGCCAGCCTCAGCAAGTGGTCCCGGGCACGCCTCCCAGGGAACGGTCCTGACGAAGATTCCGCCACATGTTTTGAGTGGGTGTTTGAAAATAATGAATCTTCATTTACTATCGGTCCCGTAGAGTCTGCCAGCACCCCTCGACACATTTTCAGGTCCTGTACTGTCCACGTACCGTCTGCCCAACGAGAGACTGTCCACGTCCCGTCTGCCCAGCAAGAGACTGTCCACGTCCCGTCTGCCCAGCCAGAGTCTTGTCCCGCCGAGACCATCCAGCCAGAGCCAGAGACCGTCCAGCCAGAGACCATGTCCCCTCCCAGCCTCCCTCTCTCACCTCCTCCTAACCATCATGTTTTGACCGTTCCTCCACCACTGCTTGGCAGCCCCACTGCTTCCCCGGAGTGCTTCTAGGAGGTGGAATCGCTGTGGGTCTGCCTGCCACCAACTCCATCAGGGTCAGGGGATCCCCGGTCTCCTCCTCGGACCTCCTCGACCTGGACTCTGCCGCAGCCTTCCGGTCCATTACCTCTACCATGGCTCTTACCTCCCTCACCGCCGCCGTGGCCCTTCAGCCCACCAGCTCCTCCAGGCTTCCTCGTACCCCCGGTTCCACCTTGATCCTTCATCGACCCGCCCTCGCCCTGGGACTACCCTCTTCTGGCTTCGCCTCGTCACTCAATCCTTCAGGCTCAGTTGGGCTCTTCACTCTCTCTGGCTCCACCTTGGTCCTTGGTCACTCTGGTTCCACTGTGGTCTTCAGGTTCCCCCTCTTGGCCTCGGTCGCCGGAGCCATCAGTGTCACCATGTCCCTCCTACCTTTCAACATCGCCCTGTCTAGCTGGCCCTATTGCTTCACCCTGGTCTCCTCGATCACCTGCTCCGCCTCCATCAGTCGGCTCCCTGGAGTCGCCAGTCCCGCCTCCTCCATGGCTCCTCCCTCCGTCATCTCCGTCTTGGCCACTCAAAGGGTCTTCACCATCCTGGCCACACCTTCAGCCTGCTCCGCCACGTCCTGCTCCACTCTGGCCACGCCCTCACAGTCCTCATCTGCACCAGTCTGTCTTCGTCACGTGCACTACACTTTCCAGGATCCTCTTGTCTGCACACCTGAACTCACTCCCTCAATCAGCCACCGGTTCATCGTCTTGTTCATCTGTATCACCTGTCTTCACCTTGTTATGTTTGATTCATGCGTGTATTTAGTTTGCCTCTGTTCAGTCTGTCCTTGTCGGTCGATGTTCATGTTACCTTGTGTTGCTTCCGTCTGCCTGTATCCGTGCCTGTGATTTTGTGAGTAAAAATACAAGTTATATTCGTTGGAATCTGGACTCTGCCTGTTCTTCTGCCTGCACAACACCGTGACACAAGATAGAATAAAAAATCTGTTATTATGAACACATTTGAACGTGGTTGTCTAAACTTTCTTGATTTTACAACCCTCAATAATACATAATAAATAATAAAATAAATAAATCATTTTCTAAAAAAATCCTACATCTACATTGACTTTTATACCTAACTATATTTGTTCTAAGGTTGGTGGTCTAGAATGTTTACTTTTATGTGATTATAAAATAGATAAAGTGTCCTTAATTTGATCCAAATTCCATCAACAAATGCTCTTCGCATGGTCATTAATCTACAAACATAATTTCTCCCCACAGAGATGCTTCATCTGGAATAATCAGTTTATTGAATTCAAGAATAAATCCTTATTTTATAAACTAATAACATAATTATAGTATC